GATAACCTTCAGCTTTAGACTCCGCCCAATGCTCACGTGCCAACAGGAGATTGGATAGACAGGAACGGCCCCGTCGGAAGCCATGTTGTCGAGAAGAAATGCAATGTTGCGCCTCTAGGTGACTGATAATGTGCTTCGCCACTAATTTCTCTAACACTTTACATGCTACACAAGTCAAACTCACGGGCCGATAGTTTACCGGGGCATGCTTATCACCACCTTTGAACAAGAGAACAACCAGCGCCTTCTTCCAGTCCGATGGTGATCGGCCAGTCCGGAGAGACAAATTGAACATCTGGGCTAGCGGGGTGACACAACATCAGCCAGGTCCTTTAGCGCCACCTGGACCACCATCCACCTACGTGCCGAAGACACGAACGATCAATTGGTTAACTCTCCTCCCCCAGAGTGACCTTGATCCCCCCGCATGTATATACATACCCCGGACGCTTGACCCCCCCCCGGACTTCCTGTTCTGTATTGTTGCATGCCGTTTTGATAAACGTCTGTTGCCGCTCACTCGTCTTCTTGCATGAAGCCTGAACGCGTGTACCTGATGCCCGTGACTCCGGTCGCTTGTTGTTGATTACGGATTGTTCTCCCTCGAAGTTCAGACTAGAAGCCCGACCACTACAATTAAAATCCCGTGGTTCTTCTCGGTGGTCAGTACGGAGAAGTGTTAAATCAAGTGTACTAACAACATTCTCATTAAACGTTGCACAACAACCTCGAGAGTATGAAAAATAGATCCTCTGCGAACCATTAAGGTCAGTATTTTAGCAATATGTAACATTTCGTACTTTACTCATAATATTGACCAGTTATGAACTGCAACCTGCGGAGGATTCTAATGACTGAGTTTAATAACGGTGGGCTAGAAATTATCTTTTACGCTGTCATATGTGAGGACGAAATGCACGGTAACGATCTAAAATTTTAGATCGTTATTGTTCACCAACTTCAACTGCCATGGTAAGTGTACTGTATTATAAAATTAGGCGCATGTCTGTAGATTGTACCATGGAAAAGGCGTTACGTCATGAAACTCATATAAAGTACGTTAACGATAACAAAGGTGGATTCAGAACGCCCGAGGAAAGAATCACCGAAGGAAGCCTTCAGTTTTCAGTCCTCAGGATTGAGGGCAGAGGGCAGGGTGCCCGTGTAAGCCCCATCACCACTGGATCGAAGGTCCGGTCACAAGTGTTCGTTCCTCCATAGCCCCTTCAGGTGCTCATCCAGACGCCGTTTGAAAGCACCGTCTGTCTTCTCTTCCACCGCAATCGCTGGAAGGGAATTACAGAGTGTTGTTGACCTAGGCGAGAGTCGGTAGACTAACGGAAGACCAACTGACTGTAGTTTCCTCAACGTGAAAGAGTGCCTCTGCGTGCGGTGCTCTGTCCGTAAACGGAACTACTTTTGCAGCTTCGGCCCGTATCACCTCTCAGGATCTTCCTCAGGCAGATGAGATCTTCCCTGAGGCGTCGATACGCAATTGGGAACAGACCAGTAGCCTGTAGACGACCTTCATAGCTGGTCCCGCTTAGTCCAACAACGAGTGTAGTGGCAGCACGTTGTGCACGCTCCAACTTAGCCAGTTCACCGGCCGTGTAGGGGTATGTCGTCGCACCACCATACTCAAGTCTTCTTCTGACATGGGAGGTGTACAGCAGCCTGAAAGCGTCCATCGGGAGCTGGTTGAAAGACCGCCGAATAGGCCCCAGAATGCTCCGTGAGCTAGCACAGACCCGATCGGTGTTTTCTCGAGTCTTTAGTGATGACGTAATCACAACACCCAGGTCTCGTACGATGTTCTGCGTAATGTGGTTCCCTGAAAGCGTGGTGACTCAGAGGTAGCTCTGAGTCAGCACGCCCCAAAATGCAGGTGAGCACACTTCATTGTGCTGACTGGAAGAGCCCAGGTGTCCGCCCACTGAGCCAGGTTGCTCTAATCAGCCGGAAGAGAACTTCGATCATTCAGATCCTTGATTGTACGCCGGATTTTGATGTCATCCGCATTCATGAGGGATGGGATGCACAGCTGACCAGGCAGGTTGTTCACATATACCACAAAGAGCAATGGACCAAGAACCGAGCCTTGGGGGACCCCACTGGGAGAGGAATACCACGCAGAGAGCGATTTGCCAACACGGACGCAGAATTTCCGCATGTCCACACTTACACCTAGGTCGGACAGCGTTGGCAGAAGGAAGGCGTGCGGCACCTTGTCGAAAGCTTTGCTGAAGTCCACGAAGATGATGTCCGTTTCGTGTCAGGTCAGGTCAAGTCAGGTCAGGTTTCTAGGACGAAAACAGGCTTTCGCCTAACGTGCGTCCAGATTCATACACCAGTAAGATTTGGGACTTCCTCTGGTGCTACGACGTGAACATTGT